AAAAGAACTTTTTACATAAGAAACTGAAGTCTTCGACATTTAAAACTCAACTTCATTAATAATCCCAGGATTAATTAGACTCATAAGTGGGTTTAGTTCCCTTTTGCATCATATGCAGTGTTGTCAAAAGCGTAAAGCATTTTAAAGCATCAGCCCTTCAAAAGGCTTAAGTGGTGAAGCGGAAAGCGAAGTAGGCGCTTCACCGAAGTGAAGCGGACAATACAAAAAGATGATTATGTAATAACCTAAACCTTTTCAAAATGTACTCAAAACATGATATATTAATAAAAAAGATTTTAAAGTTCATAACATCAATTATCAGAACAGAAAGCTAGTAGTACATGTAAGCATAATAGTCAAGAAATTAAAATAGTGCAGAAAGTCAAAAACAGCATAATAGCATTCCAAAATCTAAGATAAATCATCTGCATCTATGTCATCCTCATCAACTACATTCATCTCATCATCATCACTGCTGTCATCTCCATCACTTGAGTGAAAATCCTTAATCTCTTCCTTTGATTCCTCTGTATCAGCCTCTTCTTCTTCAATTTCTTGTACAATAGCTTTTCCTTTAGAACTTGAAGGTTTTAGTGCTGATTGTCTACCACAAATTCTTCTAGTATATTTTCTAGGCTCTTTAGCACCAGAAGCTCTAGCTACCTCTACCCAAGTCAAGTCATCATCACCAAAAACAAGTTCATTTTCAGCATCATCTTGCTCACCACCCATTTTTCCAATCAACCATTCATTACTATCATCAATATAGTCAAGGGAGATTGGATCAATTTCATCCTTGCTATTATATCGAGCTTTAAGAGCTTGATTATACTTAACAAATACAAGATCTTGCATTTTTTTATGCTCAAGTCTGTTTCTCTTCTTGCTATGAATCTGTCCAATTAAAATAGATTATGGAATTAAATTATAATTAGAATTGAAATTATGAGCAGTCCAATTAGAATTGAAATTGCATGTGAAATATTGTAATGATAGAACAATTAAATAAAAACAGTTCCTAAATCAACAAGCAGAAAAACAAAATAAGTATGTCTAGGTAATGAACTTGAACTTGAGAGAGTCAGAATTTCTCATTTTGTATTTGGGTTTTTGGTATGAGAAATGAGTAAAGGTGAGTACTTATTGAAGTGTTTGCAGTAGCAGTTGTAGTTTATCTCCATTCCTGGTACTTTTGGATAAGGATTTGGGTTAATACTTAATAGTCATAGCTAAGGGTGAGATACTCTTTCAATAAAGAATTTGGTGCTTGGAAATAATTATGACTTTATGATGCATATATGGATTGGGTGTGGCGGTGTGCAAAAAATATCTTGACCTACAGAACTGCTCAGTGGAGTAGGAGAAGAAATTATTTAACAGTAGGGTTCCATCTAATTCAGGTGCTTCAAAAAGTATATGTGAAAAGTTTTAAAACTTTCTTGTTAATTATAATTATTACTTTGGCCACCATAATAAAACTTTATTGATAACTAAAACTTCACTTATAAGTTACAAGAATTGAAAAAGAAATACAAAACAATTAAATAAAAACAGTCCCTAAACCAACAAGTAGAGAAAATACTTACTTGCTCAAAAACACTCCAGTTTCTCTCACAACCAACAGTACTACAAGTTAAACTCAAAATTCGAACAGTCATGCTCATCAACTCTGGAGTTTCCATTCCATATGAACTCCACCATTGAGCTTCAAGACATAAGCAAGGCAAGCAAATTATCATTATGGGAATGATTAATTCACAAATAATACATAAATTTCTTTCAAAAAAACAAGAACTAACAAATCAAAATTAGAAAAAAAAATTAGTACCCAACTTTCTACATTTTGCTTACCAAGTGGTCTTTTGCTCTTGGACCGTACTGCCATGGGATCAGCAAACATCCCCTTAACTTCTTTGTACAAGTGCAATTGATCTATGATTTTGTCTTGATCATCATGATTTGGAATTAACTTTTCAATACAATCATATAAGCCCCTCACAATCTCTTTATTTGTTGTAATGCTTGGGTCATTATAAAAGAATTGAGGGTTCAAAAAATGACCAGCAACATGCAAAGGATGATGAAGCTGATTTTCCCATCTCTTATCTATAAGAAAAAATACATTCTTATACTTTTCTTCATTCCCATCAAAGGCCTTTTGAATGGCTTCCTTGGCCCTATCCATTGCTTCATAGATATAACCCATTGCTGGCTTTTTTTCATTATCAACTAGGCGAAGAACACCCACTAAAGGACCCATAACTTTAAGGGCATACACAATCTCATTCCAAAAAGAAGGCATCAAGATAACATCAATAGCCCTCTTACCCTTAGCTTCTTTGTAAAACTTGCTTTTCATCCACTCATATGATGTGAACATCTTTCTAAGGTTAAGCTTTTGCTTGTGAACCCTTTCCAAAGTAAGATAGGTTGTAGCAAACCTAGTGACCCCATACCTAACTAGTTCTTTCTTTTTTGTGAAAGTTCTCATCAAACTTAAGGCAGAGGTGTGGTTGTATATAAGCCCAACTAGAAAACTGGCTCTCTCTAAGGTTCTTTTTACATTTGGCAGCTTTCCAATATCCTCTAAAATGAGATTCACATAATGTGTTGAACATGGAGTCCAAAACAAATTCTTTCTTTTAGCTTGTAGCAATTTGCCTACCAAGACATAATTGCTACCATTGTTAGTGACCACTTGAATAACATTTTTCTCTCCAATCCTCTCCACAAAAGCATCAAGTAACTCATACAATCTATCCCCTGTTTTCATGTAAGAAGATGCATCAACAGATTCTACTAACATTGTGCCTATTGGACAGTTCACCAAGAAGTTAATTATACTTCTTTGTCTTCTATCTGTCTAACCATCAGACATAATTGAGCAACCATACTTTGCCCATTTCTTCTTGTGATCCTCTAGCATATCATTTGTAAGCTGCAATTCCTTTTTCAACAATGGAACCCGCAACTCATGATAGCTAGGAGGCTTTAAATTTGTACCATACCTCCCAATAGCTTCTACCATATATTTGAAGCTATCTAAACGTGCTACATTAAATGGGATCCCAGCTTGATAAAAAAATCTAGCTTCATACTAGACTATCCTAGCTCTTACTTCTGGATCACTATCTTTTATACTCGTTTGCCTCATTTTGCTTTCTTTTCTTTTTTGAACTATAGTTTCTGGTTTCATCAAAAACAAATCCATTGGGCCTTTGGTTTTCTTCCCATTACCCTACATTCTAGCCCCATATTTTACAGTCAACAACCATTTACCACTTGTATTAAACTCAACTAACTCAACCTCATCCAAATCGTCATCACCGATTCTACAATCTTCTAAATAATTAAACATCTGAAAAGAACCTGAGAAGCCAGTGGATTTTTGAGACTTCTTCTCGTTGTAATAATTCCATAGCTCTTCCTTAACCTCTTGTGGGACTTTTGGACAAACTGTAGCATTACCCAAATGCCCCATCTGATATTGCTTTGCTCGATTGATTCCCCCAGTAGTTGTTTTATTACAAAAATTGCAAATAACATAATTGGGTTGACTAGGATCCTTCAAAGAATTATATTTCCAACCAGGATCTTTCTTATTACTGGACCTAGATGAAGTTGTTTCCATTTGCAAAAGGAAACAAAGCAAGTGTAGAAGCAGGGGAAAAAACAAAGCAAAAAAAGAAGAAAAAAGGAAAGAACGTTGGAACTTGGAAGGAACGAGAGAATCAAACTTGAAGAAAGCAAAAAAGAAGAGAAGAAAATGTGGATCTTTCTTGTCATAGGCTCGATCTTGAAGAAAGATGCCTAATCTTGAAGGAAGAAGAAGAAGAAGAAGAAGAAGAAGCAGCAGCAGTGTCGGGACTGAATCACGATTCAGATCCAATTTTAGATGTTTTAGGGTTTTATTTAGGGAAAAAAAATGTTAAAGTACCATTTTACCCTTAAATTTTAAGGTTAAATTGGATAGTTTTGTCAAATTGAACAAAAAAGAAAAAGCCAACGCTTTGGGCACCGCTTTGGGCGCTTAAGCAGTGAAGCGGGCGCTTCACTCCCGCTTCACTAAAGTCTAGCACTTCACTAATTACTGAAGCGCCAGAGGTGCAGACCGCTCCGCTTTACTGCTTAAGCGGTTAAAGTGGACGCTCTTGACAACACCAATCATATGTAGGTGATTATTAATTTATGTATAACCATTCATATTCAATTTGTTGAGCTTACTACCTACTGCTTTAGATTATTCTATTTGTTCTTTGCATTCAACATGCTACTGAAAAGCTACTTGGAAACTCACTGGTTGACATTTTTGTGGTCTTCTTGAACATATTAACGAGACTAACAGCTTTGTTTGACTAGACTTGTTGAAGTAGAATTTAACAATTTATCTAATGAAAGCGAGTTTTATTGCAGGAAGGACTTTCTCTGTCAGTAACATCATTTTAATTATAGGTATGCACTCACATTCAATACTTTGATGATATATAATTTAGTTCTAGTTTGTTACCTATATCCTGTAACCATAGGATAAGCTATGCATTATTATCTCAGTAAAATTTACTAAACCTTAGCACTAAATGAAGTCAAAATCTTTGAATGGTCCTTGTATGTGGATATGGTAAATTATGTTAGTTATAATAAGAGTAGACACACTTCAAATGACTTTTGATAATCTTGTGCTTTTTAAACAGCTATTATTGCAACATGCATTGGAATGTTGCTAGTTTTCATCATTGCGACAATTTTCAAGAGGATTAAGAGAATTAAAATTTTAAGGGAGGTAACACAGAGTGATAGAAATATTGAGGCTTTTATAAGAAATTACGGAAGTCTAGCTCCCAAAAGATACCGCTTTTTAGATGTCAAGAAAATGACCAATTCGTTTAAAGAAAAACTTGGCCGTGGTGGTTATGGAGATGTGTACAAAGGGAATCTACCAAATGGTCGTTTTGTAGCTGTGAAGATCCTTAATGCATCTAAAGGGAATGGTGAAGAATTTATTAATGAAGTTGCGAGTATTAGTAGAACTTCCCATGTCAATATTGTTACACTTCTAGGATTTTGTAAGGAGGGTAAAAAGAGAGCTTTGATCTATGAGTTCATGCCAAATGGATCTCTAGACAAGTTCATCTTCAAAGAAAGCACTTTAGATGATAATCAGCACTTGGGTTGGGAAAGGCTATACAATATTGCAAGTGGAATAGCACAAGGGCTTGAGTACTTGCACCGTGGATGCAACACAAGGATTTTGCATTTGGACATAAAACCTCAAAACATTCTTCTTGATGAAGAATTTTGTCCAAAGATTTCTGATTTCGGACTATCAAAACTATGCACTAGAAAAGATAGTATTGTGTCAATACTAGAGGTTAGAGGAACAATTGGGTATATAGCTCCAGAGGTTTTTAACAAAAACTTTGGAGCTGTTTCACACAAATCAGACATCTATAGCTATGGAATGATGGTTCTTGAAATGGTTGGGGGAAAGAAGAGCGGGGTAGGTGCTAGCAGTGAGTATTTTCCTTATTGGGTTTATCGGCATCTAGAATTAGTTGATGAACTGCAAGGTCTAAGGTCTAAAGTAGAAACTGATATTGAAAAGAAGATGATATTGGTGGGGCTATGGTGCATACAAACAAAACCTTCTGACGGGTCATCAATAAAGAAGGTGATTGAGATGTTGGAAGGAGGTGTAGAAGCCTTGCCAATTCCACCTAGGCCTTTTCTTTCTTCTCCTCCAAGACCTCTACATGATTTTGCTACTACATCAAGTTGGGATACTGTATCATTGGTAGATTAATATGTGTACCTCTGGTTTATCTTTTGTGTCCTTCAAAAATAATTTTTATTTGTTATTAATACTATAAATATAAGTCTTTGATATTACAAGGCTCAAGGATACTTCAAGTTAGGTTGATATATTTGTTTTCCCTATATTTGGTTTGAGTGAGTTATTGGCTCGTGACATTAGAATTACAGGATAATGTGGTAAATATCCATGGTGGGGTCTTTAACTTGACATGATCAATGAAAGATGAAAGTGTGATTATTGGAAGATTTTTCAATCAAAATCCTTTTTTCATCATAATGCTTGTGAATGGGAAGGATTTGTCATTAGTTTTTTTCTTTGTTGGCTTAATTTGAGTCCATGTAGTGGTGACTCTAAAGTATAGACAGGATTATTAATTTTTATAGTTCTTTCAATGATATGATAAACGCTTAATTTATTGTCTCATTACTAATCATAAATATGTGTTAATCAAAATTATGTGTAAAAGACCAGGACTATTATGCTCGGAGGAGATCATTTATCATCCCTTGAATTTAATTCATATCCTACTTCTATTAATAGAGCTCCTACTACCATTGAGTATTCAAGGAGATAACCAAGAGTGACTTGTGATAATCTTGGGATGGGAAAAATTATACCAAATTGCAGTTGGTATGACTTGAGAACTTAAGTACTTGCACCATGGAAGCAACAAGGATTCTACATTTGGACATAAAATTTTCTCCAAAGAATATGATTTTGAACGGTCAAAACTATGCTAGTACATTTAAAAGGATTGATAAATGAAATAATTTTAAAAAGTCGCATTACAAGGAGAGGAGAAGAAGTCAAAGAGATTCTTATCTAACTCAAGGAATTGTTGTAATTGCATTTAAGAAAGTTGATGAATGAAATAATTATTTTGATTACACTATAAATTAATTTGGTGCAGTGCTTTAGGCTTAGGATTATTCTATTTTGGTATTTGCATTCAATACACAATTACGGAAGCTATAGTTACTTGTAAAAGTCCTTGTTTGACATTAATTTTTATGGTCTTCTTTGAACATGTCAACAAGATTAAAAGCCATGGTTGATCAGAGTTCTAAAATTAACTCATGAGAAATTGATTGGAAAAGATCGAGAATAGGACACGAAACGATGAGGAAAATACTTAAGTGCAATGGGATATTACATCCATCCCTAATCAATAGAAAACTAACTCATCATATAATTTATAATAAAACATAGCAAGCTTGTAACTCTTTCCTAGTTTGCTTACTTGAAAATCATAATCTTATTGAATATTAATTTATCAAAAAGCAAAAAGAGAGTGAATTTGAAGACAATTAATTTAACTAATTTTATTTTCTTATATATGCACAATTTATGTGATGAAAGCAAAAAGAGAATGGATTTGAGGACATTCTCCATATCCTGGCTTATAGTTAAATCAATTTATTGAAACAATTTAACTTATGAAATTGAAAATTATGTTATTGCAAAGAGGACTTTTGCTGTCAAAAACAATTTCTAATGATTGGTATGCCTGCATGATGAGCACTCTAATGACACATGATTTGGTTCAAATTGTTTAACTATTTCTTGTAGCTTTAAGTATAATCTAAGTATTATTATTTCATTAAATTTTATTAGACTTTAACACCAAAAGAATCTAAGTAATGGTATTAAATTGTGAGTGAGTAATATTTCATAATATTGACATAATTTTTTATTTAAAAATGTAAAATTTATCAATTTTTAATTAAAG